CTGTAAGCTTACACCAATCAGATTTGGAAGTGTCATGTGCTACAGAGCTTTTTCTGGAGCACAAGAGGATGTGCTGTGCTTGCTGGTGTTTTCCAGAGGATGGTCAGCTTGCTGCCTTCAAGTTGCCAGAACCCCAGGGTTGCCAACACTTCCTCCTGCCCCATGCGCAGTGCAGATCTGGTTGCCTCGGGGCAGCATGGCCCTCAGCTCTGCGTACGTCACCCATCCTGCTCTGAAGCAGGAGAGCTTGAGCTGCATCGTGCAGCAAGCACTGCCTCTGCTCGCAGCACCGGGAGCTGCTTCAGGTGCTTCATGAGCAGCTGTGGGAGACGTGGCTGCAGGCTCTGAGGGAAGGCAGGAGCTGAGGACTGTCCTTTTCTATGGAGGTTTTCCATTCTGGCAAGGAGCTCTTGCCCTTCCTATGTGCCCTTCAGCAGGCAGTGTGTGCTGCTCAAAAACCGCATGTCATCTTTTTGTACTGAGGTGCTTGATAAGTGTTTTGTCTTTGCTCATTGTAATGGAACCCTTCTCAGAGGAAACAAAGGCACCAAAAGGTTCAGACCTTGTGGATCTGCCACGGGCAAAAAAAAAAAGAAATAAAGAAATAAAGAAGCTTGAAGGCTTTTCCCAGCGTGAAACTCAGCTCCTTCCTTCAGTCCTTCCAAGCTGAACTTGTTCAGCTGCTCTTCTTACTGAATGGCTTGGTCCTGAGGCAGTGTCAGTACAAAGGCACTGTGTGGGGCAGGGTCCACCGCCCATCACAGCTCTTAGGCCACGCCTTTAGAGGGGGTGTGCGTGTGGTCCACTCTTTCAAAGGAGTGGAAGAGGGTCCCTGGACAAGGCCCGGGGTGCTCGGCTTAGGCGTCGTTGCCCTGGTTCTGCTCTGTGCTGCAGTGGAGGGGGCTGCCTACCTCTGGCAGCACAGCCCCAGCCCCACATGCAGCCTCCCCTCGCTGGCCCCACGGCTGCGTGTTGCCTGGGTACCTCACTCTGAGGGACAGAAGGTGTGTGTGTGAGCTCTGTAGGGGTGGCCATGGTCACAGGCAGGCACTGCTCCTGGAGGAGTACGGCACTTGGCACATCTGTGTCAGCACAGCACGTGGCTGCCTGCTTCCAGAGCTGCCTGGAGAAGAAACGTGCTTTCACCCTACCATTGCTGGGCCAAGGGCACCTTTCAGTGAAACTGGGTGTACATACGTAGCTGTAAAGTCATGGAGAGAGGAGCAGAATGGACCGTAGTGCTTTGGCTGAGACGTGTGGGGGCTGTGCTGGAGCTCAGCTGTGCTCTGTCTGCGTGGCAGGAGATGCTTCCTCTGTTATTGCATCTGGTGAGAGGGGGGCTGCCTGAGGCTGGGGATGCAGACTGTAGCCTGAGGGTACATATCTGGGTTTTTTTTACTCTGCTGCTCTGTGCCCCACCTGTGAAGTACAGTGGTAACAGGATGGAGTATCACCAGGCTGACAAGGCGCACCTTTTCCTGCGCAGACCTCTGCTTGTCAGCCCCATGCGTTCAGCCACCTGGAGTGCTGGCTGCCTGTGTGTCTCATGCAGAGCATAACAAACAGACCCAAGAAATGTTATGTGCCTGCCTTCAAATTGTGCTGTGGTTTCAGGTGTGATCTCCAAGCTCAGCGAAGAGGAAGCAAAAGGAAACAACCTGACTTAGTGTTTCCAGTAAAGACAAATGCAAGTGCACTATAGCTATGCAAGTTGGTGTCCTCTGGTCCTTGTCAACTTGTACTAAAATTGTATTTTAAATTTCTTTTTAAAAAATTTCTGCTTGTGTATGAAAGTGACCCAGTGGCAAGGAACCCACCAGCACTTTTTTCGAAGTCTTCTTACTCCATTCTTGGGGCTTTTGCCTCCTTGTATGAGTGGAGGTGGCAAAGTTCTCTGATGGATTCACTGCAGGGCACAGCTGAGTGCATCAGTGCAGCTGGTGGCACCTCTGGGAAAATGCATTTAAGGCAGCTCCTGCTGCTCTCAGCACTGTTTGCTGGGAGCACTGACAGAGCCACCTGCTCCATCCCTCCTTCATAACCACCGATACGGAAATGAACGGGACCAGAGCACTTCAAGTGCATGTAGGATGGGGAATGAGCAAGAAGCCAAGTTCAGAGTGCAGTTACAGGGCTACAATCTTGTTGGCATGCAGTGATTTAACTCTGATGGGCAGCTAAGAACCACCATACAACTCCACTCCGACTCCCCCTCTTCAGAAGGTGGAAAATATAATGGAAAAAAGGCTCATAGGTTGAGATTAGGACAGGGAGTTCACTCACCAGTTATTGTCATAGGAAAAACACACTCAGCATAAGGGAGATTAATGTAATTATTGCCTACTGATAACAGACTAGAGCAGTATGAACTAAAAGCAAACTGAAACACCTTACTCCCATCCACAATCTTCTACCTCCTCTTCTGAGGAGTGGGGGTTGTGGACAGCCCAGAACACTTAAGTCTCTACCAATTTCTCTGCCCCTGCTGCACATGGACGTCTGCTCTGCACAGTGCCTGTGGGCTGCAGGGGACAGCCTGCTCTGCCATGGCCTCTCTGGGGCTGCAGGGAACCTCTGCTCCATGCCCTGCAGCACATCCTGCCCTCCTCCTATCCTGACCTGGATGTCTGCAGGGCTGTTTACCTCACATTTCCCATTCCCTCTTCCTCAAATGCCACTGCTCAGAAGTCTTTTTCTCTTCCTTGTCTGCCTTCCCCAGCGTCGCTCATGCTGCAGCTCTGGCAGCATCTGGTCCCTTTGGGAGCAGCAGGAGCTTTGCTCTGACATGGGGCAGTGCTGGGCTCTGCTCACAGAGGGCACTCTGCAGCCCCCCCACTACCAAACATTGCCGTGGTGCTCACGGGACGTGGTGGTGTGGCTGCTGTGGCTGTGGCTGGAGTGTTGCCATAGAAGGACAAGGACTCTTTAGGAAGGACAGGCAGCAAAAGTGGAAGTTTCCCTTTATGTGAGAGAACAGCTGAAGTGCATGGAGGTCTGCCTGGACATGGATGAACAGCCAGCCAAGAGTTTATGGGTTAGGACTAAGGGAAAAGTAGAGATAGGTGACATTATAGTGGGTGTCAACTATGAGTCACCTGACTGCATAAAACAAGCAGATGAGGCCCTCTATTGACAGATAGGAGCAGCCTCAAGTTCACCAGCTCTGGTCCTTGTGGGGACTTTAACCACTCCAATATCTGTTGGAGGAATAGCGCAGCAGGAAGCAAGCAATCTGGTTCCTGAAATACGCTAATATTAAGATCCTTCTCCAGATGACAGGAGCCGATGGAGTGAGGTGCTCTGCTGGATGGTGGCTGCCAGCAGAGCGGGTTTTGTTAGGAACATAAAGATCAAACACAGCCTTGGTTGCAGTGACTGTGAGATGGTGGAGTTCATGTTCCTTAGATCAGGGAAAGTGGTGCATAGTGAGCTCACAACCCTGAATGTCTGGATAGCAGACTTTGGTCTCTTTGAGGATCTGCTTAGAAGAGTCCGCCTGGAAAAGGCCATAGAAGGAAGAGGGACCCAAGAAAGCTGGTTCATGTTTGAGGGTCACCTCCTCCAAGCTCAAGAGTGATCCATCCCTAAGAATAGGAAGTCAGGCAGAAGTGCCAGGAAGGCTACACAGATGAACAAGGAGTCATAGAAGAAAGAATGAGGAACCTGGGAGGAACACTGAGACACTGTCTGAGCACCCAGGGATGAAGGAAAGCTAAAGCCCTATCAGAGATGAATCTGGACAGGGATATCGAGAAGGGCTACTCCAAGAATATCATAATGAAAGGAAGACTGAGGAAAGTATCGTGTCCCCATCCAGAGAGCCCTGGGCAGGTTGGAGCCATGGGCTGCCATGAACCTCCTGCAGCTCAGGGGGGAGGGCAGAGCCCTGCCCTGGGGGGAACAAGCCCAGGCCGCAGGACACGGTGGGGCGCCCTGCTGGAAGCAGCCTGGCAGGAAAGGCCTGGGGGTGCGGGGGGACCCTGAGGTGAATACGAGTCAATAATGTGCCTGTGCTGCAAAGGCCAACGGTGTCCTGGGCTGCGTTAGGCCTGGTGTTGCCAGCAGGGGAGGGAGGTGGTCCTGCCCCTCTGCTCAGCTCTTGTGAGGCCACAGCTGGAGAGCTGGCTCCAGTTCTGGGCTCCCCAGGACAGATGTGGGACTACTGGAGAGAGGCTAACAAAGGGCCGTGAGGGTGATGAAGGGGCTGGAGCACTTCCCCTACAAGGAAAGGCTGAGAGATGGGACGGTTGATCTTGGAAAAGAGATGGCTTGATGGCTCAGAGGGATCTCATCACTGTCTATAAACACCTGAAGGCAGGTGCAGAGAGGACAGAGCCAGGACAAGAGGCAGTGGGCACAAACAGGAGGTTCCTTCTGGCTACTGTAATACACTTTTGTACTGCACAGGCAACCGGCAAAACAGGCAACCGGCACTGGCACAGGTTGGCCAGAGAGGCTGCAGTGTTCTCCTTGGAGCTATGCAGAAGCTGCCTATTTGTGGCCCTGGGCACCTGACCAGGGTTTCCTTGCCTGAGCCGGCAATGGAGCAGATGGAGCTGGAGGTCCCTGCTGGCCACAGCCACCTGTGGCTCTGTAGGGACAGGGAAGCACCCCAGCTCCCCATTTGCACAAGCAGTTACACAGCTTGCACCTCCTGGCAAGAGCAGGGGAAGGTGCACGGAGGCTGAAGAGCAAAGTGAAGGGGGAACTGCTATGTGCTGACAGCAGCTGCCCTTCACCATCGGTGTCTCTGAGCAGGGAAGAGGAGACAGAGGAGTCAGTGATGCTGAGCTGGGGAGAAGGAAGAAAGGTGTTGTGTTTATGTTTGTCTTTCTCACTTCCCAGATTTACTTTAATTGATGTTCAATTACATTTTCCCATTCCTGCTTCTGAGCTGGAAGCTCCACCCAAGCCTTGGCTCCCTGCCACAGAACGATGTGGGCCACCTCTGGGCGCCAGGGCCATTTGGGCACTGACTGATGGCTCTTCTGTCCCTGCAGTGTACGTCGTGGAAGAGAGGCGGAGGGATGACTCGGGCGAGAGTGCCTGCCTGACGGCATGCTGGACCGCACTCTGCTGCTGCTGCCTCTGGGACATGCTGACCTGAGCCACCAGAGCTGCCGTACCTCTCACGAGTGCTATGCAGTCCCCCCACTCCTTTCCTGACTCCTTTCTGTTACTGTAATCAACGCTCTGCTTTGCACAGCCAAGAGTTCCTGTCTGTCAGTCCTAGCGCCTTGTTGGGGTGGGGGGGGGTGCACTCCTTTATTTTAGTAAAGGAAAATCCCTTTTTAACATTTCTAAAACTTTTGTTGTAACTTTGAAGAATGTGCTCGTGGTGTATTTCAGCCAAAGGCATTTTGATGAAATGTGTATTTATCGGTTGAAATTTTCCTAGTCCTAGAAATGAAGATATACGCAATAATTAAAGCCAACAGTTGATTTTATTCGCTAAGTCCCAATTGTTTCAATAAATCTGTCCCGTAGAGGGTGTGCTTTCCCCATCGCTGTCTCTTCTCAGCCTCCTGCGTGCTCTGACTGCAGTGCAGCAATGCTGGACTCGGCTTCAAGCAGTTCTGCTGCAGAAATATGTGCCTCTGCCCCTTGCTGGGGCCTGGCATACGGTGTCTGGCACTGCTGCTCCCAGCATCTGTGGGGTTTCTGCAGAAATCTCTTGCATAAGCTGTGGCAGCGCAGTGAAAAGCAGCCAGGGTGGGAAGGAGGAGGATGGAGTGCCTGCTTCTGACAGCACTTCTCCAGCACTGACCACTGCCCTGCTGGGGGTGCTCCATCAAGCCCTCTGCTTCCTCAGGGCCACTCCTGCTATGGGATGCTAAGAGGGTGAAGATAATTTTGGGAGGGCCCATGCTGGGACCTGGGACTGCTGGACAGGTCCTGGAAAGACAGAGAGCTGAGAGGAGGCAGCACCAGCAGCTCCTGGCTGTGTGCTGATCCATCATGTGCTCCATCGTGGCACTGCTGTAGAGCCTTGGCTGCAGTGGGGGTAAATATGTGGGTAAGAAACAATGGATTAATGTAGTGCTAAGAAGCTGCCTGACATGATGGGGAGAAATTGGGCTGACAGTGCTGGAGAAGAGAGGGCTTCATCAGGACTGCAGCAAGGAGGTCAGAGCCTTCCCTTGTGTTGTGCTGGGCCAGCACTGGGCCTGGACACAGGGAAGAAGCTCAACCCCAGCTCTGTGCAGAGCTTCCCTGCCCAGACCAGGTCTGCTCTGTGCCCACGGTCAACAGAGATGAGCACCTGAACAAGGGTGCTCATGATGCACCCACGCCATCACATCTGTGTGGGGCTGCCAGGGAGTACACCAGTAGCCAGCTGGTGCCAGTGGGCAGCAGTGCTGGACGTGGGCTGGAGGTGGGATGCAGCAGACACAAATCAACATACATAATATGTGCACAGACACCAACAGGAGTGGCCCATACCACACAAGTGCCAGTAGCAGCACTGGGCTGTCTCACGCTTACTACACAGGGTGGATGACCAGTGCCCAGCCATGGTGCTAAGGCAGGCAGCATCATGCTGCCCAGTGCAGCTCAGCCACTGTGACATCCCAACAAGCTGCTGGTGGGAAACCACTGAAAAATCCCATTAACAGCAGTCAGGAATAGGGAGAAGTGGGAGGCCCCAGTGCAAGCTTGCTTTGATCACAGTGTCCACCAATGAGGGAGCAAGGAAAGCAGGATGTCCCCAAGGGCACCCACCCCAAGTCCTGCCCCTCCTTTATTCCTCAAAGCTCAGCAAGGAAGGCAGCTGCCACATGACAGAGGCAGCCAGCAGACACAACGAGCCAACATGGGCTTTGCAGCAGGGTTTATTAGATCTGTCAGGTAACAGCCATCACAGCAGAGCAGTCAGCATCGCCCAGAGAGTAGCACACGTCCATCCGTGGCCCAATGGGAACTCACATCTACTGTGCCCTCCGGGCCATCAGCATCTCCCTAATGTTATCTTCTGCTTCCTTCACGCTCCGCTCCAGGTAGGACTTCTTCTGCTGCAAGGCAGAAACCCAGGGGAGAGTTAATGTCTGGCCTGGCATCAGCAACAGTGAGAATGTCCAGGGCAGAGCCCCACCACTGCTGAGGGCGCAGGACACGGTGCTTCCCCAGGAGGGAAGTCATTCCCAGACCCATCCTGGAAGTGTCAGCATTTTGCCTTTCTGGCTGGGCAGTGGTCACATAGACTGAATTTTGTTCCCTCTGAAACCTCCTCAGAGTTGCTGGGCTGCATCAACAGCAGGGCTACAAAGGATCTGCTAAATTAACTGCAGCAATAAAGAAAAGGAAATGAGATCCCATCATGTTTGGAGCCCAGAGATAAATTTATGCACCACAACATGCTTGTGCTACCATCAGTGGCACTGAAACCCCTTCACACTCGGGTTAAGAAGGTTCTTTCCCAGCTGGGTATCCTCAGAAACCAGACCCTCCTTTCTATCTGCTGCGTGTTCAGAAATCCCCTGGTGTCACCACAGAACGTGTGTATTTCTTTAATCATCTCTCATTATCCCAGGCTTGGCAGGGAAGCAGACTGAAGCTGTGCATCCTAAGATAGGAATTCAACAGGCAGCATTTTTTCCTGCTAGTCTGGGTTCTCCTAGGTGACTGGAAAATCTGCACTTGGCTCTCCTAACTATTTTCTCTGGGTTTCCAAACGACAGACACAACAGTCCCTCATGGGTGCCAGGCCTGCAGAACGCATTTCTGTCCCCACGGAGTCCCAGAGCTGCCCCTGATGCAGGGCATGCCAGTGCCTGGTGTTTCAGCAGAGCCCACTGGAACCACTGCAGGCCATGCTCCCAAGGCAGCCCTGCCCTGGCTCAACGGCTGTCCCCATGAACGCAGTGCAGCCCCATGCTGGAGGGCACCAGCAGGGTGATCCTTAATACCACAGGAGGTGGGCCTCAGCCTGGGGCATCACAGAACCGTTTGTGTTGGAAGGGACCCCCAAAGGCCATCCAGTTCATCCCCTGCAGTGCACAGGGACAACCACAACTCCATCAGTGCTCAAAGCCTATCTAGTCTGACCTTGCTGTCTGCAAGGACAGAGCACCGCCACCTCTCTGGGTACCCTGTGCCAGTGCCTCCCTGCCCATAGTGTAAAGAACTTTTTCCTTATATCTGTCTAAATCTTCTAGTTTGAAACCACATCCCCTTGTCCTAACACAGCAGTCCCTGCTAAAGAGTCTGTCCCCTTCCTTCTTACAGCCCCTTCAGACACTGAAAGGCCGCTTTCAGCTCCCCCAGAGCCTTCTTTTCTCCATCTGCACAGCCCCAACTCTCTCAGCTTATCCTCCTAGGGAGGTGTTCCACCCCTCCTTTGGACGTGCTCCAACAGCTCCATGTCTCTCCTGTGCTGAGGACTCCCTGACTGGATGCAGCACTCCAGGTGAGGTCTCACAGTGCAGAGCAGAGGGGCAGATCCCCTCCCTCGCCCTGCTGGCCACACTGGTTTGGACACACCCAGGGCATGGTTTGCTCCCTAGACTGCAAGGGCACATCTCCATTGAACCACTTCCCAACCATAGGCAGAGGAACCCAGTACAACGTGAATGACCTCCAAATTCCACTGGCACTAAGAAAAGCTGCACTGCTCCCAGCACTGCCCAGGTACAGGAGGGTGCTGTTAGGGGCACTCACCCCCAGCATCACCTCACTGGAGCAGAGCAGCAGCAGAGTTCAAGTATGGTGTAGGAACTGGGTGATGTGGCTACCAGAAGCTGGTGCTGGCCTGTGCTCATGGCACCTAGCTGCTGGTGGAAGGCCAGGTGTGCTGGGCATGTGCCAAGGAACAGTGACTGTCAGAAGCAAAGAGTGACAAAAAATGCCAGGTGGGTGCTCTGCTGATGGTCTCAACACTGTGAGAATGCAGCATGCTGGGGTGTGTGACACAGAAGCAAATCCATTCACACGGTGCAGTCCTGCTGCCATCCACACTCCCATAGCTGACCCACTGCAACTCTTCCATACACCCGCCTGAAATTCCCATACCGTGAGGACATCCCTTCTGCTCCCATTTCTAAACACTGAAGAACTTTCATTTAAACAGTAAAGGTTGTTAACAACAGCGAGGGCTGGGGGGTACAGTAAAGGGCTCCTTGTCTCCCTGATGTGGTCCCAGACACGTGGGATGCCTCTTGCTACAAGAGCTGCTTTTCAGGAAGCTGCTGGGAGGCGGCCCAGCGTGGGTCCCTGCTTGGATGCCTTGCTGGCACTGATGCACAAGCAGGGCAGGACGTCCCCAGCCACCGCTGTTCTCACGCTGTTCTGGATGATGCTGAGGGACTTCACGTCTGGGGACAGGAACTCCAGCTCCTCCTCCCCAAGCATGAGGGGCTCAGGCAGGGACCAGGCTTGGCACAGTGCTGCCATGAGGACGGCGCCCACGTGGATTGTTACACAGCGTTGTGCTGCTGGGGACACTGGCAGCCCTGAGCAGGCCAGGATTTGTATTTCCAAGATGTGTGGCAGAAGCAAAGTGTTCCTTCCTGTGGAGCTGTAGCATGGCTTCTGCTTAGGTAAGCACAGGAGAGGGAGCAGGAACTTGTACCGATCCCCTTCCCACCACAATTACTGGGGTCTAGACAGGAAACTCAGTGTCTCTGATGCTCTTTCATGGGGAGCACTGCTGCGAGCCAGCAGGGCTGACACATCCCCACCCATCCAGGCTGCTGTGTGGGGCTGGCAGCAAGGCTCTGAAGTCATCCTTGAGCCCGTTCCAGCCTGGCCGGCCCTGCTGGGTTGCTGGTAGCCACTAGCTGTGCAAGGAATACCCTCTGCGGTCTCCCAGACTTCATCTCTGCAATTCCTGCACCCGATACTGCCTGGCATTAAAGGAATGATGGAACTGCACACTTGGAGGCATTAAATGCACTGGCTTATTGGAAGCACTTTCTCCAGCTCTGCTCTCTGTCAGCTGCTCTCTGCTCCCAAAGATTCAGAACACTGCCTTGCTGCTGTGATCACCATTTCTAGCATTTCTCACACAGGGAGGAATGACCTGAGGCTACAGCCTCAGAAGAAGACTTCACTGCAGGAGGAGCAGGAGGCAGCCTAGAAGGCAACTGAATGCACTCATAGACATAACAGGATTTGCAGCAACAAATTTTCAAGAGGGCAGCATGCTCAATACACATACAGAAATCCAACCAGCTGCCTTGCTCCTGAACAGGACAAACTCCTGCACCTGCACTGTCACAGGCTGTCATCCATCAGATTCCATCTCAGCCACTCCTAGAAGAGAGAACCACTTCAACTCCTACTCAGCTGCTCCCCTGCACAGGAAGGGCACTGCCACCCACGCTGGAACATGTGAGACAGCCACTGCTGCCACTGCAGCTAGCAAGGCCTAGGCTATGTGGAGAGCAGTTGATAGAGAGCAGAGTTGGAGAAAGTGCTCCGAAAAAGCCAGTGCAGTTAATGCTTTCAAGTGTTCAGTTTCATAATTTCTTTACACTAATTCTGTAGCCAACAAGTTCTCTTTCCCAATCAGGAAACTGGCAGCAAAGCAAACCACAGACTTGCTGATGTCTCCAAAAGCTAGCCCTAAAAAATATTTTTACTTAAATCTGCCTTCTGGTACAACTAACAGCTCCCTGGCACCAAGAAAGTGGGTCAGGAGCCATAGCCAAGACCTGCTCTCTAGACAGCAGAGCACATCCCTCCTGCTCGTGAAGCTGTTTGCAGGGTCAGTCCTCCCCACACCTCTCAGTGCCCCTGCAGCCATGCTGGGGCTCTCCAGGGCTGCCTCCAGGCCTGGGCCTGCTCACCCCAACCCTCCAGTTCTTGGGAGCCTTCCCCATCTCAAGGCACTCCTGCAGCCCTCCTAGACCCTATGTATGGGGCAAGGGGCAGGAATGGCACGTGTCAACCTGGTGCAAAGCACCCAGTGCCCAGAGCATCAGAATGCCCAGCCTCGGTTGAGGGTTGGAGGAGACAGCACCCTCAAGGCTCCACTCACTGCACCACAGGGGCAGGTCTGTGCCCAGGTGCTTGTGCACACAATGAAAGCAATGCCCTAAGTACTTCCAGTTGTCACTACCCTGTGTCACAGCTTGAACTTTGCTCCCTGTTGCAGGTAAACTCCCACAATCTGCTCCCTGATCAGCTCCATGCTACATGCTCTCAGCAGCTACTGCGGAAATTCCGGATTTAGTGCAAATACACCTGCAGGTCACAGCCCTGAGAAACAGCCACTGTGGTTAGCAGATGTAGGCAGTGACCTCCTGACACTGCATAAACCTCCCACCTCCGCTGCTATTACATCACGCTGAGAGCAGCAGCCAGGCTTTGTCCACAATGACACATGCAGACTGCGCATTCCTGTCAGATTAAAGAGCCAGCATCCACAGATTCCACAGCAAGAAAAAAAAACATTCATCAGCTCCTTGTGGATCAGATTCAGATGATCAAAGTGCCATATTCACACAGCACCATCTTCGGGGCATATCTGCCTTCAGAGTGCTGCCCAGGGCTGTCAGCTCCATGCAGGGGTTTGGGGCCAGGATGCTCAGCTCCAACAGCCACACTGTGCTCAGCAAGAACCTGAAGGACAGCAGCTAGTATTTATTTGGACTGCACTATGCCTAGAACTCACAAGTGCTACCCTTTTTCAAACAGCAGCTTATCATTCAATTTCTGCTTTTTTTGCTCTTTAAATTTTACTTCTGTCTCCTTACCTCAGCTTGTAAATTAGTGGCCTGCAACCAGAAGTATGAGGTGCCTAAACTCAAATAAAAACATCTCCCAGCAAATCGAAGGATCTAGCAATGGAATGATATTGGACAATCCAAAACTCAAAGCAGTGGGTGACACACCAGAAGGCTGCGCTGCCATGCAGTGAGATCTGGACGGGCTGAGAGTTGGGTGGGGAGAAAAATTATGAGGTTCACCAAGGGCAAGTATGGCCCTACACCTGGGGAGGAATAACTGCATGCATAAGTACAGTTTAGGGGCTGAGCTGTTGCAGAGGAGCTCTACAGAGAAGGATCCAGTGTTCTGGTGGCCAACAGGTGGCCATGAGCCAGCAGTGTGCCCTTGTGACCAAGAAGGCCAATGGTATCCTGGAGTACATTAGAAACAGCATGGCAGGCAGGACAAGGGAGGTGATCCTCCCCCTCTACTCTGCCCTGGGGAGGCCACATCTGGAGCACTGTGTCCAGTTCTGGACTCTCCAGTTGAAAAGAGATGGGGAGCTGCTGGAGAAAGCCCATCTCAGAGGGCCACAATAATGATCAGAGCTTCAGCAAAAAGAGGAGGCTGAGGAGGGATCTTATCAGAGCTTATAAACATCTACAGGGCAGGACCAGGCTCTTTCCAGTGGTGCCCATCAACAGAACAAGGGGCAACAGGCTCAAACTGAAAGGCAGAAGTTCCATCTGGACAGGAGAAAGAACTTATTTGAGAATGACAGAGCTCTGGGACAGGCTGTCCAGAGCAGTGATGGAATCTCCTCTGGAGATACTCAGAACCACTGGATGCTTTCCTGTATAACCCACTGTCAGAAGCCTGCTTTAGGGGACGGGGGATGGTCAGACGATGAGCTCCAGAGGCCTTTTCCAACACACATGGCTCTGTGGATGTGCATTCTCACATTGTTTTTTTTTTTTTTTTTTTTTTTTATGCTCCTTTCCTACAACTCCCAGTGTGTGAGGATGATACATGCTCAGGTCCCTACCAGAGCCCTCCCTGGCACACCCCTCCCACACACAGAAGATGACTGCTGTGGAAGAATGCCCTGGAGTCTTCAGGCATGATGCAGTGCCTCAAATAGGTGCCCTGATATAACTCATCTTGTGACAGTCTCAATAAACGTGCTAGCTTAGTTTCACTATCCCTAAAGTTAAATCAGGTAATTTTTGGCATTCCTTGCAGTCTCTGTGTGCACACTCTTTGGGAAAGTGATAAGCAGATCCCATGATAGAGCAGGGAACACACCCTCAGCTGCAGAGAGTTCTTCTCCAGAGGAACATGGGCCATCGTGGGGTCAGGACACAGCACACAGCTCTCCTGCCCAGGGTCTCACTGTGCCCAAGAGATGCACTGTGCCCAATGAGATTTCCACTTGAAATTCCTCCATGGTAAGGAGGATCTCCTGAACAGCACTCAGCCATCCTGCAGCAGGAGACACAAACAGCCCATGGGCAGCACAGGGGGCAGCCCTATGCCCCCCCAGGCTCAACCTGCAGCATGGTGCGGCATACTGACACCGGGAATGACACAGCAACCACCAAATATTTAGATGCACTTCAGACTTTCCAAGCAGCAGGGTTATTGCTCTCAGGAAGCTGCCTGTAGTTTGCTTACGAGTGAACTGCAATAGGAAAGGACCACAGCTGGTTCCTGACGACAGCCACTGACAGCAGCGTGATGATGCCACCCCCCAAGGAGGAGAAGCAATGATTCATGTCCTTGGGTTTTCCCTCACTTACTCTTTCCACAAGGCAATAGGGACACTCAATCGCTTTCAAGCCATCTGAACTAGAGAGAGGCAGCACAGTCTGCCTCAGTTACAAAGGAGATCTAGAATGATAGAACTGTTAGTGTTGAAAGGGACCCCCAAAGGCCATGCAGTCCAAGCCCCTGCAGTGCACAGGGACACCCACAGCTCCATCAGTGCTCACAGCCCATCCGGTCTGAGCTTGGCTGCCTGCAGGGACGGAGCACCGCCACCTCTCTGTGCACCCCATGCCAGTGCCTCACTGCCCTCAGTATAAAAAACTGCTTCCTTATATCTAATCTAAGTCTCCCCTCTTTTAGTTTGAAACCATTTCTCTCACCTTCTCATAGCAGCCCCTGCTAAGGAGTCTGTCCCCTTCCTTCTTACAGCCCCTTCAGATACTGAAAGGCCACTTTCACCTTCCCTTCTCCATCTGTACAACCCCAGTTCTCTCAGCCTGTCCTCACAGGGAGGTGTTTCATCCCTGGGAGCATTTTTGGGCCATCCTCTGGATGTGCTCCAACAGCTCCATGTCTCTCCTGTGCTGAGCACTCCCTGTCCGGATGCAGCACTCCAGGTGAGGTCTCACAGCACAGAACAGAGGAGCAGATCCTCTCCCTCATCCTGCTGGCTGCTGCTTTGGGTGCACCCAGGGTATGGTTTGCTCTCTGGGTTGCAAGGGCACAGTGGTGGCTCATGTCCAGCTGCCATCCAGCAGTACCCCAAAGTCCTTCTTAGCAGGGCTGTGCTCTATCCTTTTGTCCCCCAACTTGTACTGATAGCAAAGGTCGCTGGCACCAAGGTGCAGATTGTGCACTCAGTTTTGTTGAGCTTTGTGAGGTTCACCTGGACCCACTGCTCAGCTTAAGAAATCCTGGTGCAAACCTGCCCCTATCCTGTGCTGGTCCTACCTACTGCACTGCCAGCAGGGCTTCCAACATCATCTCTGCAGTGCTTTGAGGTGCATGTGCTCTGGGAAAGCATTCACCATTTCCCAGTGTGGTAGCAAGGGAGGTAGCTCTCCAAAAGAAGTGGCAAGGTAACAGGCAGGGGAACGAATGTGCCAAGGAGCCTTCTGCAACAGAGCCCAGGCACGCCACACATAACTGTCATGTCAGCCACATGGCAGAACGTTAATTAGAGGTGGAGATAGGTGCTTTCCGTGACTGGGAAATGATGGACTGTTCCAGTGAACTTGTGCACCCTACTCCAGTGGTGGCTACCAGGGAAAGCTGATGAGAACGTTTCAGTAGGTGGCAGCAGAAATATACTTGCAGTGCAGACTCCTGTTGGGACACTCCTTGGAAAAATCACCCTTCTAAAGGACAGCTCTCAGACACGTTGCTCCAAGCCCGATACCACACTCCTGGCAGCCTCATGACAACAATCATGTCATATACAGAGAACTTGGGAGGAAACTCATCCAGAGCTGAAATCCCCACATTCTGCCTGGGAGGAAATGTGCCCCTTGCAAAACATAGTAAGTTCCTTCACTCAGTGCTTCAGTTTCTACATTCCTGCAGAGCCAGCATGGCAGATGAGAGTACCTGCTAGCACCACGGCTGTTGTAAAAACCAAAACACATCTCCATCTAGCTCTTACAGTTTGGGCCAGAAGAGGCTATTTTTGAAGAACTACTACTTCTGTAAAGGTAGAAGACTCAGAAAGTCAGCAACCAGAAGAAATGAATGCCTAACTAGCTATCACTCCCCCAGCCAATGCCTGTGGGCTCATGGGCAGAAGGGAGAACACTGCCACGTCTTCCCAGGAGCATGCTTTTGGGCAGAGCAGTGCAGCAACCTGATGCAGCACAGGGCCAGCAGGAAGTCGTGACAAGCCTCCCGCATACCTGGTGAGCAAGGTGTGGCTCCACAAAGCTGACTCAGGGCTGGGTCAGGCCTCCCACACGCAGCAGCACGCTTTCCAAATAATCGCTTCCTGTTCTCCCCGGGCGAGACAGAGGAGATGGGGGCGGCAGGTACGTGTAATCCCCCTGCCCAGAGCTCTGGAATCACCAGGCACAAAGGGCAGCAAGGAGCGACCGCTTAGGGCCGGGTGACTCAGGCAGGCACAGCGGTGCTGGTTTTGTGACTAACCATTACTCATGCAAGGAGGAATTTGGAGAGGGACCCACATCCAGCTCTGCTCGTTGCTTTGGGTATTTCCACAGCCCTAAGTACAAAGAACAGCTTTGACAATGAATCAGACCCTGGTTTAAAATGACAAAGAAAGACTTATCTATCAGTTTGGTGTTCAAATGATTTCAACGTATTTGTAAGAACTTAGCTCAATGCTAAGCAGAGGAAATAAGCAACATTTTCAGACCCTGATGACAAAATGCATGCCCCCAGATGGACAAAACCATTTAGACAGCAGAAGTGTTTTTTTTATTAGCGCATAATGTTCTTCACTTTCCCCTGACTGACAAAGGAATGCCAAAGCACTGGCACAGTTTGCTTTGAAAAGCTTTTTCCATTAGATTTGTGTGTCAGATCAAAACCAAAAATCCCAAAGTAAGCTCTGGGATAAAACTTATTTTGAAAGTGTCTCCATAACAAAGTTCTGAATCAACTTAATCAACATAAATATTAATTATTATCCTGCCTTTATAATCTACAATTATTCAACAAAAAATAAAGGCAGGAATAGCAGGGAGAAAAAAAAAAGCTGTCAAATCCCAGTTCCCCCTTCGCGAGGCCTTTGCCCTTTCATCTAGTTTGTGTGCTTACTTTGCAGTAATGTCGCACAATGAAGGGTAACACGATTACTAATTAACTCGTTCCTTGCAAAATTTGGAAAGGTTGAAAACTTTGTGCTGTGAATGACTGCTGTAAATGAAAACTCCAGCCCCGTGCGCATCATACACATGACACTATAAATTCAGGTCATTCTACCCAAATGAGCATCACCTACAATCATGCTTCACAGAAATGGGATGCGGAGTTTTCACAAGCCATTCTGCATCTGAACTGGTGGGAGATCCTTTCTGAGAGCTGGGAATTCCCCTTAAATGTGATTATTTTCCTTCTCCTCATCTGTGAGGTTACAACTTGGCATTTTGCAACTGGTGACTTCTGCACTACTTAACATATGACCAACTTGTTAAGCAAGTTTCAGAGCAGAGCACATATCTATTTGATTTTTATCTAACAAATCTAGCATAGGGATGTGGACCACTATAAAAAAATATAACTTATTCCTTGCAATTACTGAAGAGTATTTGTTCCCTTGTAAAGCTACAGGACATGAACTGCACACAACCAACTTTAATTTACCTGAGAGTGAAATTATGGTATCTCAATAGAAGGAAAACAGAAAAAATACATGTGATGTAGGCTGTAAGAAAGCAACCCTCTTACTGCCTTCTTCACTTTTCACAAGCAACCTTTAAGACAGACTGTGAGGCTTTAAAGAAAGAAGTCATCAGATCCATCCAGAGCCTTGGAAGCAAGGGGTAAGCATGCTGCTCAGGCTCCTGCCAGCAGAGTCAGTCCAAGGGACAGAAAGAACTAGAGCAGCATTACACATACCCAATATTTACCTTAAATTTGTATGGCACCAGTCCAGCATCAGAGGACTTCTCCATTAAGAAGGTTCTGTCCCAAGAGCATTAGCTCCAACACTCTCAACCTTTTCATCATTACATTACATTTAAGGTTTGTTTTGTCCATTGTTCAGGGTATTTCCCTTTTCAAGAAAAAGAAGAAAAATTAACCTCCGCTATAAGACAGCCAGACCTACAGGAAAAAAACCAAATGAGCTTCATACTGCCTTCTTCACAACAAGCCTGCTGGTGGAGAACAGATGCATGCCCACAGCTCTGCCCATGCTCTGCTCTCCTATGGAAGCAGCTGTGGATGCCCCCATGCTGATAGCAAGCTACCTCTGGAAGCTTTCATCCTGGACCCAAGGCCTCCTCATGACCAGGGAGAGCTAATGAAGCTCCCAAGCATAAATTCAGACTGCCGGATGAGCAACAAGAAGCATGACAGCCTTCCTTGGAGGAGTTGAGACTATAATGCCAAAAGGACTGAGACCAAGCCAGAGTCTGACATCTTCTATATGCATACTTAGGGCTGTCCTTAGAAGCCAGGGGCTGCTGTGACAACACATTTAAATCATGTCCTGAACATGTGGATTGAGTCAGCAATGCAATAGAGAAAAACACACTCTTCCGAAGTAAAATCTGCTCTAGGCTAAATCATAGAGGGCTGTTCTTGAAGCTTCCCCCTACAAGCCAAATACAAGCATTCTTTATTTTCCCCTGTTTATTTAAGAAGCGCACCACACATTCCTGGGCGCTGGCCTATCCATTCCAACTATGGGATGAGAGCTCCTGTGCTGCAAATCTCAGGAAGAACGTGGCCAAACAACTGCTACCTTCTGGTGGTCGCCAGTGGTCTGCAGGACCACACATCTCAAGAGACTTGTTTGCACATCATTAAAGCTACCCTCTGAATTGGCCTCCACATGGACAGTTTCAGCATAAAAAAACAAAGGCTTGTCCAGAGAACTGCCACAGAGCAGGCCATGCCTACACTGAGAGTACAAAGCACCAGCTCTCACACTCTGACACTGCTCCCCAGACACACCTCACTCACTTCAGCCTTAGCTGCCCCAGGAAAGAAAAACTGCGCTATGGCAGCCAGCAGACACCCTGCTTGCTCAGCAAGAACAGGGGCGCAGCCACTGCACCACAGAGCTGCAGTGTGGCCATTCCAAAGCCCCCAGAAAGTATCACAGAACAGACAGGTGGAGTGCAAGCAGGTTTGTGTGCAGGCAAACCAGGGAAGACCCACTGCTACATCTGACATCCAGACACCTCAAAGTATCACAATTTAGTGGCATCTTAGCTTCAGCACAATGCAGCCCTACCAAACCTGACCAGTTTTTAAACAAGAGGCAGTTTTTTTTCCAATCATGAACAAGAGTTAAGAAGCTTTCTGCATGGGATGGGATGGCTGGACACTGCACTTAGACTCAAAAATTCTTTTTGGGGTCCCTAGCACTTGGGTATGCCTTCCCTCATGTTATTTTCAACTTCAGACAGAAAAAGAAGAAACCAACCAACCCTTTTGCCCTACAGCATTAAACGTTCAGACTCCATACAAGTGCATAAAGAAGTGCATGGGATGTAGGTGTGCAGCAGTGCCGTGGGCAGAGCTTTAAATCCAAATCCAATTCCCCAGGAAAGCTGCAGGTTACTTTTGTCCTTTGCAAGAAGGGGCTAAATTCAGCAGCACAATCAACAACATGGCCCAGCACAGCCTCCCTCTTATTTGTTATTTTTAGAAATTTAGTCTGACAACGCCTGACGACTAAACATGCTGAATATAGCAGGAGAGAGAGGGATTATCAGATATTATCAGAGAAAACACACAGCAATAATCACTTTCTCCACCCCTAACGAAGAATCAATTTTCCATGTCTTTGTAATATCAGAGTTTGTTCTTTTTAAAATGCCACATTTAAAAACAGAATCCATCTAGCCCTACAATGGAAACGGATAACATTTCCTGAAACAAAGCATTGTTCCACCCCTCACATATCATGTTTCCTTAAAAACAAGGGAAGAAAAACATTACTTGGTTTTTCTCTTAATACTGCACAAACATTGCTGAGCTAAAAAGAGTCAGTGCTCATCCCTTTAGAATGCTTTCAAAATAGATTTACACATACCCTTTGCACTGTGAAACACAACAAGAATTTGATATTATCAGGACTGGAAAAATCCAATAGCTACGCTTAGGCAGGAAGCTTCCCATGTGATGGCATGGACTCATACACTCAGCCTCTGTAAGAGCCAAGAAGGTTTTGGTAAGCTTCACTGACACAGCCTGTAAGCAAACATGCATTGTGTAAGCAAGCCTAGACAGTCTCTTTGGATTCCAAAGGATTATAAACAAAGTGTGAAGTTAAGTTTGCTAAACACGTGCATATACACATTCGTATCTCCTTTAAAAGAAGGATAAAACTACTTTGTGTGCTGACTGACAGACTATGTCTGCCCCCTTGTTTGTTTGTACGTATCTTACACCCCTTTGGGTTTTCAGAGCCATGCTCACACAGTTCCACTCACAGAGGACATGGAGTGCATATTCCAGCAAAGCTTTATTTTCACAGCTCTTTACAAAGGCTGTCCTCACTGCTTTGCTGTGTGGTGAGCAGCAGGGACAACCAGGTCAGCAGTGTCACAGCCCTCTCCTGATTCTGTGAAAGAAACAAATGAAGAAACAAAAGAAACAATGCAGGTCTTCAACAACAGGCAAACCCAACAAAGGGGAGTAAAGGAAAGAGAATAACTGCAATCACTGTCAGAGGAGAGAGAAACAAACCTCTGAAAGAAGAGGCAAAACCTCTTCCTGCTTTCAAAGTTCATTTTGACAGCTGTGTCAGGAAACCCAGCTCACACCTCCAAAGCAGATGAAAGCCCACATTTTCACAAACTGCCAGTGCTCAGGAGTTCCCCTTGCTATACAGCTGAGAAGAAGAGTTCAGCTGTGAACCCAAACTTTATGCTGCACTCTTCTAGAATTAAACTGAGCTACCAGTGACAGCATTTCTGAAATTCAGGTTTGTATCAAAAATACACATTTCACAGTACCTTGGGAAAAGCTCTGTAACTGCAGCATGCAATTGTCTCCAGCTCATGCTGTGAGAGCAACCAGATGAGGCGCACTGCATCAATACCAGAGGGTTACTCTGGTCAGCTTAATTCAACTGTGCAAAGTGTAGTAAGATATTACTTATGATGAATAATAAGGTAGTTAATGTGAAAAATAGCTTTAATTTTTTTTTCCAGTTTTAACAACTGATGAAGGGATATTTTAACCTGGTTATCTTGGTCTTACATTTATTTTACAACGATGTAGTGGGAGCACAAGGTCACAAAGTTTCACATTCTTTTCTCCTGTCACAACTTGTTTTCAGAAGGGCAAAATCCTCTACTCCCATGATAAGTGGGCTCAGGTATTTCCCTTGAAATCTTACTTTTCAGCAACTGTCAATCTAATCCTCTTCCTTAGGGAATCCCAAGTCCAAGGAATATCCTTCACACGAAACTGCCAGACATCTGGAAACCAGTTAAAAGGTGGACTTGAATGTTCATTTAAAAGAAACTGTCAAATGTTTCAGCAATCCGAGACTTACTTTCTATAGTTAAAACAGAAAAACAATCTACACGGCAACCACCTCCCCAGTCCTACTACCTTTTGAGACAATTGCTGGGAACTGCAATTCAGTAGCCATAACCATAGACCCAAGGCAAGAGGGAGCTACAAAACAGTAAAAACACATCCGTGAAGCAACCACCTCCAAGGCTGAGTGCAAGAATGGCAAAGGTTATAATCTGGGGGGGGTGAATTCCATCCATTCTGCTGAAGTCAGCGATCTGAAAGTTCAGGAGGTAAGATTATTCTCCATCAGGAACAGGAAGAAACTGAGATGCACAGCTGAAGGTTACAGTAGCCAAAACTGTCAAACACACTCCAATCAGTTCCAAATGCAGGCACACTGCAATGAAGATCTATAATTTCAGTGACAGTGCTGGTTTTGCTCAAGGCCACTGTTTTCAGGGACGGTTCCAGAGTAGCCAGGATACAATCACATTTAATCACGTAAGCATAAAAAAGACTGTGCCCTGTCTGCATGAATACTAGCTGACATATACAGCCTATCCATGGAGTACTTACTTTCCCTGCGTAGAAAAGGTTCTGGTGGCCAGGTACGCAAAGCCCCCTTAATTATCTGATACGGAAAACATGGCAGGTAACACAACCTGCAAGTTCCCATGGCAAAATGTGTTTTAAGAAGAAATTTAAAAAACACGACTTTTGCTGTAGTGTAAGTGGGAAACAAAAGAGACTGCACAGTTCTATCTGAGCACCTACTTCCTATTGCTGCTTGTCCCTGCTGCTCTGCACACTCACCTTCTCCAAAACACTAACAGATTAGACAAGCAGCTTGACTAAATTCAACCTTTCCTTGTTATCATTCCCAAAAGGTAAGGAACATGGTTACGTATTAATTCTATTTCAGGAGCATTAAGAAAAAAATACTAATGGCCTTGGAAGAAGTCCAAGAAGTCTAAACACCCTCTCCAAAGAACTGTAAAGTGTACATGGGGCCACTAGAATATACTCAAGATTCAGACGATAGCTTATTCAAACAGCTGGAACTTGCATGGACACTACTTTGTGTGTCTCAGGTATTCTTCTCTGCCTCCATTAGAACACAAGAGTACTCCGATTACATCATTACAGTCCAACCTCTCTAGGATCCAGCCTTCAACAGCAGCCATAAGTAGATGTCTAGGGCAGAGTTAAGAACAGGGTAAGCGTATATGGTACTTCCTCCTAATACTTTCCCAGACTCCAGACATTTTTAGCTCACAGGCTTCCTGAATAGGATGCAATTTCTACATATTTGGAAATGCTCGATGGATTTCTCTTCCTTGAATTTGTGCAATTATCCTGCCCCAACAAACTTTTAATACTCACAGCAAAGAGCTTCCCATCATTTATCTGCTGCAAGTAACCTCTAAACATCCTCTAAATACTTTTAAAGCTAGCTCCTACTAATTTCACTTGAACACCACACATCCAGTTTTCATATCAGGACACAGAACAATCAGTCCCTACCTGCTTTCTTAACACTCATGAAGTTTGTAGACCTAGCAAAGAAACCAAGGCACACAAATTACTTTTAGGTTATTTGCAACAGCCCTCACGTTCCCCTGCAGTTACAATCCTTGAGAATGTATCACATAAAAATAAGTGATGTAATAAACAGTACCTTGTTGACTTTCAATGTTCTATTTTCATCACCTTTACTGGCCAAAAACTTACCTCTAATTCCTTAATTTTCTCTTCTGCTATTCTCTGCTTCTCTAAAAGCTGATTATGAATGACTCCTTTAGACTGAAGAATAAACCTACAAGCAAAAGAGACAAAACCTGTTGGATTTTGCTTTAAAAAAAAATCTAGCCATTGTACACTTAGCTGCACACCAAGTTAAACTGCAATGACCTCTGAGAAATATTCATTCTCATCCATGTTCTAGACAGAGACAGAAGAACAAACTATGATGGATTCCCCAAGAGGCTCAGAAAAATCAGCTGGAAAACACTTGCTACCCGCTACTAAAAATTCATTGTTATTTAATGCCCTCAAATAAAAATTTCCACTGTTAAAGACTCCACATTTTCTTTCTGTTCATCAACTCCGAAATGATTACCAATCTTCCACCTTTAGATCTATCTTAACATTCAAAAAAATACATACAGAAGGCCATTGAAATACTAAGCCGGATGGCAAACAACACAACAGCAGAACTGCCATGTCACCAGGCTGGCCTCCCAAGTTTGCTTGCTGATTTCACCCATTATTCTGCAGAAAGAAAATAATTGCTCACAGGTTGCCCTCTACAATTCAGTGTCTTGGAAATTCCAAAAGCAGTTCTGGAACACACCTAGCAAGGGAAGTCCTTCTTATCAAATAACATTCAAAGAGATCTTCAGCAATGACAGCATTATAGTATGGAAATGCAGTCAAGGAGGATTCTTTCAACAGTTAAAAGTCACCATCACTGTAAGCTAAGCAAACCTGTACCATAGAAACAGAGGCCACGTGCACGCTACACTACGGGGCCAAGTGCCAGAGGATACAGAGAGCCATGCCCACCTGCCTTTCAGTTTTCACAGCTCCTGCTGCTCAGGGCTTAGCTTTAACATGTACCCTCACTGAACTCCAAATTCCCTTGTTTTCTAAATTCAGAGTTGTTTGCTTTGTTTTTTAAACAGGGTAGGAAACTGTTGTTTAACTGAAATTGCAGCCATCGGTTTCCATTTTTCTGTTTGTTTGGGTTTTTTAAATGCACAAGGACTTTGAAAAATGCCTCTATAAAATCTTGGTGTTCTGTAAGCCAGCATGTAAAAGCCACCAACCTGCTCAGAAGAATCAAGACCAACCAAAGCAGCTCACAAAGCACGTGGCACTGGAATCCCACAAAGAAGTAAAGAACAACTAAGCTCAGACAAATTTTAGGAACCTTCCATAGTTGCCTCTCATCCTTCCAGACATAAGGAACGCAAAGACACAGATCAGCCCCTTCCCTACTTAGAAAGTCCCCCAGGGGATTTAGAAGGAGTCTCCGTGTGTCATACCAATGAGGTCAAGGTCTGCCCCAGCACTACAGAGCGTCTGGGACAACGCCATGCTGCCAGGTGACAGGAGCAAGTGCTTGGACAGTTACCGTGAACAGCTTCAGACAGTGCAGAATCAGAATGCATTCCTCGCCTACTGCAACGAAGCCTGCAATCAACGTGCAGTGCCATCTCCAATGACAAATGATATTATTAACAGGTTTGCTCAGGGCCTGCAAGATGTTCTTTGAGCATAAATGGCATCCACTCCGCTTGGCTTGAAATTCAGCCTACTCTGCACCAGCAACACAACAGACGAAAGGAAAACTATGTGCCACATCCATTCCTGAAATGCATTGCAGTGGAACTGTGGTTAATTACAGCAGACTGTAAATTAAAACTCTTCGGTGCTGCTATTAGCTGTGCTTAGCAAACACTTCCTCCTCCTCTCCTTCCTCCCCCTTGTTCACTCCACCTTATCTTTTCTACAGGACTTTCTGCTAGGTCTTCTACTTTGGAGTTCTCTCAAATCTTTCCTCATTCTTTTGCAGTCTCTCTACTAGAATCACCTTGGCTGTCATACTCTTCGCTATTCTTTACAACACAGCACACTCGTGCTCTCTCCCCATCAGCTCCCCATTTCAGGCAGTGATCGCATTTCCAGCTCCCAGCACACACCATCCTGCAGACAGAACATGAGCATCTTGTTCACACCTGTGGAAGTCCCATCCACAACCACCCTTCTGTCAGATGCAAACCCTGCAGCCAGGCAGATGGGAGATGCTTTTCAGAATAATCACCTGCATCATCACAATGATGCTCCTACACTGCATCTACATACTGGATAAAAGAAACGTGGAAAGAAATATGAGATTTCACATTCCCCATGTGTTTTGGAATAAAGAGAACATTGTGCTTTGCTCTTGCAGATTAGTGAAAAAAGCAAAGCTGCAAGGTGTGTCCTCAGAATTTCCTGCCACAAGGTCATCAAGCCCTCAAAATAATGCTCACAGGTACTGCCCTACATCTGTCCAAGGCCACATTCTCAAAGCTGAAGCTGCAAAGCCTTATCCACAATTAAACATTTAAGTCTATGGCTTCACTTTTCAATGTAGTAAAGACTGAAAAGCTTTAAGCTTGGGATACACACCTCACAAACACCTCAGCCAAAGTTTTTACCTTAGGAAGTAACACGGCTTAAGAAGTAACTGAAATAGCATGGAATTTCTGTTCAGTAGGTAAGAATTGCCACAGGGCACTTGTAATAAAGTGAGCTACATCACTGGAAGGCTTCCTGCACAAACTGCTCTGCCAGGTCCATCTAAAGAGGCTCCACACTCATACCTCGGGCACAAACTTTTAAGTATGGGCATTCAGAAGACAACTAGCACAACTCTTGCAGATAGCTGCAGCCAGCTGTGTCCTGCAGAAATTAAGCTCTTCTTGCTTACATACAAACACTTGGCAGCACACACCAGCAGGCCTGTCAAACATGATACCTATGCTATCGAACGTGAAATACTGATTCAGAATGACACAGTGTCACTGAATGCTTTAATTACAAAACTTAACAAATAAACACTTTATGTGAGCTTTTTTGCTGCTGTTAAAAAATACCAGAAATGCCCTATCACTGGATGGGGCCCTGGGCAGCCTGCTCTGGTGGTTGGCAACCCTGCCCGTGGCAGAGGAGTTGAAAACCAATGATCTTTAAGGCCTTTCCAACCCAAGCCATTCTATGCTTCAGCTCAAAACAGATAGATTTGCCCAGTCTAAGTTGCTCATTCATTTAAAAGGAACAGCAAGTAACATAGAGCAGAATATGACTTATTCCAGATGCTTAGTAGTTTACCCAGTACTTACATACACAAAATTACAAAAGAAAGTGACGGAGGACTGGGGTCCTTGAGGACAGCAATGATCAGCCAGCTTTGGGCTGCCAACAAGAACAGCTCTAGAACACAGCCATGTATTTTTAAACTGGCAGCATCTACATGGCCTGGCATCCCAGCGACTGCTGGTTCTTAAAGAGCAACATGAGGAACAGAAATAGAGCATAAGGGAACTGAAAGAGAAACCTCATTTTAAATATTCCCACATGCTTCTATTCTTTTCCCTGCAGTTCTCTGCTATCTCCACAACAGTTTTTTGTTTCTCTTAGGCAGAGCAAGTGATTTATAATACTACAGGATGAGTTGCTTGCTTCCTTATGAAGAGATCTTTTCCTCCAATTTTGAATTTCTAAATCTCATGCCCCACTTGGTCATTATTTACATAGCACTCGCTCACACCCTGGCCAAAATGGTCTTCGGGCTCCAGTTACACTGTTCAGTGATGCTGTTAACTTCATCTGCCACACGTACACACCCACCAAGGGATGTTCATACTATGTAAGTAATTCCATAACTCAGTTTGTTTGCACCAAAAAGCACTGTTTACTTGACTTTAAAACACAGTATTAGATATTGAAATATTCATCTGTTAATGAATGAGGTTATGGAGATGTTTATTCAGCACACGCCAACCTTCACTATGACACAGAACTTATTAAAGTTATTAGAGGTGGAGTTACAGTGATATTCATGGCAAAGGTTTTCCGTTAACAACATTTCCAATTACTTGCAAACTTAGTCAGCTTCAGCTTTCATGTCTGGAACTCCTGGTGGTGGGCACCTGGCCCAACGGTGAGCACTTCCCCTTTCTGCTCTGCTTAGGTAACAGTTCAGGTATTTCTGAGGGAGGACAGGAGCTGGCAGTCCACAAGTGCGAGTTTTTGGAGAGGCATTTTTAAAGGTAGGAAAGCTCCAAAACTATTTTAATTAATGGCAGATCCAGAGTCCACTTGTTCTGGCTTCCAGCTACAGACAGGGTGATTACACCACCAGCTTTAAAGCCCCCTTTGGATTTGGGAAACTCTTTGTATCTTAACGTAAGTTTAATGCAGAAAACTGTCAACTTTGTACAAAGTCATAGTATTATTTAACCATACTTGTTGTATTTCTAGAGGAATCTAACATGCCTTGTTGTAGCACAGCGCAGTTGTTTGTACATAATACCCTTCTCCTTGAAGCCAAGCATTCTCATTAGACTACTCCTTGAGAAAAGTTGGACTAAGCCCAGTCATGCCCTTATCTATTTAAAGATGCTTTTTAATTCTGAACTTGCACTGCTGTTCAAGCTCTGAGCGTACTCAGTAAGGGATTAATGCATTTTAAGTACTGTTCAAAGCCAATGGAATAGAGGCTTCCAATGAGCTGATCCCAAGCAATCTAGCTTGATTGAACAGGAGCCGGCTGTTCACAATTGCAAGCACCCAGAAGTCTCCTTTTGCTCTTCCAGGGTCTGCATCTGCTTCTACAAACAATTCCTTACTTCACAATAACATGCAGCTCATAACAGGCACTGATAGACCCCAGCAAATTCCAGTTTAGCCATCCTAGATGAGCTAGCCAGTTCCAAACAAGACAAGCAATATTAAAAAAGGAAAACTATGACTAATTATAGTCTGTGCTGCCACCCTTCACATCCAAGGGTTTTGGATTTTTCAGTCTGATTTTGAATTTCCCATTCACCATATCATAACCTTTAAGCAGAGCTCACGTGGGTCGAGGTGGTTGAGGCTTTTCCTCCATTTGCTGTTATTTCAGCAGCCCCTCATTTCACTGGGTCACCCAATATAGCTCAGCGTAACTGCCCCCCTCCTCCCTGCCAGAGCAGTACATACCTTACAGCAAAACAAATCCTGCAGCTTATATTGGGAGGGTTATATATGAACACATTCTAGAAGCAG